AGTTTGGGCCCCTTTCCCTTGACAATTTGTAGACTGAAGTAAGAGGATTAAAATTTTAAAATTCCCTGTCATTTCTGTGAGTAATCTGTTATAAAAAGTGATCATGTTTCTCAGATACTACTTTGGATGGTGGTCGGATAAGAGGGTCAAAAATTCCACACAGATTTTGACGAAGATAGTGGATTTGGCTTTGGCTGTGTTAAATCTGTGTTTCTTATGGAAGTGTCTGTTAGGGAGTAGAGAGCTGGAGTTTGGAGTTCAGGAGATTGGGAGTTGCTGCCGTATAAGGGAAGATGGAAGTTAGCACAGGCCATCTCACCTTGACAGAGCTATGCAAGAAGAAGAGGGGGTTACAGCTGGACTCCAGGGAAACACCAGCATTTAAATGTTGGCAGGCAAAGGAAGAGGAGCAAGCGAAGGAAACTAGGATGTGCCAAGGAAACCAGGGTGAGAACCAGAGAGGAGCGGTGTTAGGGTGCCGTGGTAAGACAGGCCTTCAAGGAAAGGGCAGCAGTGTCTGGTGCTGCCTAGAGGTAGAGGAAGAGGAAGACTGCACCTGGTACTGGGGCGGCTGGTGACCTTGAGGAGAAGTGCTCAGTGGAAGCCAGGATGGTGAGAGTATCACCTATATCAGTTATTTTTTCTCCATATTTTTACTGCAACTCAAAACAGGTAGTATCATGATGCAGTGTGTGTGTAATCACACACATTTATCTGAAACAAATTTCTGAAAGTACTACATACAGTCTACTCCAATATATTACATTCTGTTGTTTCACTTTTTAAAAATATGCTGAGTACAATGCATCAAATTGATTACATGACTTGTATCATAACCTGCAAATTGAAAAACCCTGTCATGTGTGAGTATTGAGGTTGGCTAGGATGATGTTTAAGAGTTGGAGTGGAGATAAATTGTACTAGTAAGCAAAATCGTTGATGAATGAGAGGGAGTGAGTGATCAGTAGGTAAGTAGACGACGGGCAACAAGGACAGGAAAAAGAAAAGGTTTCTACCGGGGAGTAGGGAAGTAATATTGTGAAAGGGACTAAAGGGAATTAGGGAAATGTTTTCCTCCTCTCTTCCTTCCCTGCAGTAGGCCCAGCAGGCATCCTCTTGCTGAGGCTCTTAACCCGAGATCTGAGACAATGACCCTCCAGAAACCAGCCAGAATTCTGCCTGAGTACATTTTCCTGGGAGTGGGCCCAGGACTAGGATTGGCAAGTGAGTCAGTGCCCTAGGGAGAGAGTCAAGGTGGCAGTGCACTATGGCCTTGACTTCTAAAATAAGTAGTGTTTTGTTATACCAAACCCTCGTAACGATTTGTTGACAGAATTTGTCTTATATATGCCTACTCAAACTTTTCAAACTCTTTTCTCATGTTTTAAAATTATAATCCACGTTTTTTCTTATTTTAGCAAGGAGCTAGCTTCAGCTGAGCAAAATAAAAATCATATAAATAATGAGCTAAAAAGAAAAGAAGAGCAATTGTCCAGTTATGAAGACAAGCTGTTTGATGTTTGTGGTAGCCAGGACTTTGAAAGTGATTTAGACAGGCTTAAAGAAGAAATTGAAAAATCCTCAAAACAGCGAGGTAAGTTACCTACTTTATATTATCAAGGTACTTTGACACTTTTGAAGGTAACTATTAAGGATGGGAGATTTAAAACCTGGTTATGGAGCCAAATAGCTTGCGTTTTAGTCCTGGCTCTACAACTTACTGTGTGACTTCTAGCAACTTACTAAAACTTTCCTGTGTTTTACATTAATCATCTGTAAAATGAGGACACACCTACTTACCTACCTAGGGTATTGAGGAATAAATGAGATTATAGTTGTAAAGCCCTTAGAACTGTGC